TTAAGGAACCGAAACCTCTTAAGGAATCGAACCCTCTTAAGGAGCCGAACCCTCTTAAGGAGCCGAACCCTTCTTAGGAACCGAACCTCCTGAGAACCGAACCTCCTGAGAACCGAAACCACCAGGGAACCGAAAGTAACCTTCGGTCCGAGAGGCCACCTTCGGTCCGAGAGGACTACCTTCGGTCCGAGATCATGACCTTCGGTCCCTTCTGACGAGCAGCCTGCGAGACCTCTCGGTTCCCATGCACAACCGAACCTTACCTTCGGTTCTATGCTCCTAAGGAACCGAACCTTCGCACCTTCGGCCTGAATTTCGGATTTCAGCAAATTCTACCCGGTTTTCAATATTTTTAGCATTTTAAGCCCGTTTTTAATTATTTTAATGTGGGATTTTCACCCAAACTCGTATTTTGACATATAAAACCCTAAATATTCATATTTTATCTATATTTTGGGGAAAATCCTTGCCTAAGAATAATATTTATTTGGTGAGATATTTAGGTGGAGTATTGACTTATCCTTTGGACAAGGACACAAGCAACCTCCCCATACCTTCATAGTACAACCCCTAGTCACTATTCACCCATACCTAGTCATTCCATAGTACTTTTCCCACCATTTTTCAGCCACACACTTGGTCAAGAGCTGGAAAGCCCTCCTATCTCCTCACATTTCTCTCATTTTCCACCAAAGAACAAACTTCATTCTCTCTCACTTTCTCTCTCTAAAAATTCAAGATTCAAAGGCTGGTCTTGGGTTTTTCCTCCACATTTGGTAAGTATCTTCCTCCTACACTTAGATATTCTACTATCCTTCATCCAAATCATAGATTTCTTACACAAATATCGTCATATTTGTTGTTAGATCTTCAAATCTTCAAGCATCTCCCAAGTGTTCTTGAGTTGAACACTTCTTTTCTCCATCATCCATCTACTGAAATCACTCAAGGTGAGTTCATACCCTTACATTTTCATGTTTTCTTCAAGTTTTAGGGGGGAATACAAGTTAACACACCAAAAACTTAACTAAACTCAAACAACAGCTTTCATCAGAAAAGTTGAGTCTTATTCACGGACTGTTTTGACTATCTTAAACTTAATATATTTCAAAACTGTTTAATATGAAAATAGTTCAGGTTCATACCTTTAAAATTACTACTTGCACATCTCCATACGGTTTTTCTACGATTTATGGTGATTTTTACAAACTGCCTATCATTTCAGAAACGAATTCGGACCAGTCTGTGAATATGAACATTTTAACACAAGTTAAAGACTTCTAAAAATCATAATAAAAATTATGATTAAACTAGACACATTTTTTGAACTCTCAGAATTTACGGATTCAGTTTTTCGACTTCGTATGATTTTTCTATGAATGTTCTAAAACAGTGCTGAAAGGCTAAAAACTAGTTAACAGCTTACAACTTTCATAACACTTTGTAGTATGTTGAGCAAAGTGTATAACAATAAGTTCTAAATATTGAATGTATTTTCTTGTTAGTTTATCATCATAAACTGAAATTTAGTCATTCAGATTAAGGATTCTTCATTCATTTCGAACACATGTAATAAACTACATTAAACATAGTTTATGGATTTTACTACATGAAAAAGGTTTTACTCTCAAAACAAATGGGTTTTTCATATACTAAATGATAAACTATAATAGTAATAGTTTAAGGATTTCATATCACTAATTTATCCAGAAAAGGTGATTTTACTTCCTCCACGGAAGAGGTTTTAATATCAAACTATGTGTAAACTAGTTAACTTAGGTTGTGAGACGATTCTCTCCCCGTACGTTCGAGTACGGGATCCCAATTCCTGTAAGTTATAACCAGAGTCTCTTGTAGGGAGAGCGTGACAATTGTGTATAGATCTATATTGGGATTGACACCCCACACCTCGCTGCTAGCTACAGCCGGACCGGCAGGTCTGCGGGTGACAAGAGTCATAGTATCTTAACGTCTGAAAAACGTTGTGCAGGTTATTTTTCGTCATAGTATGGTTATAGCGACTCACATAGGTAGTTAACAATCTTTTAATTTTACATGGAAAATTCTACTTTAAAAAGGGGGTTTTACTTCTAAACTAAACGAGTTTATGTCGATTTAAACTTGCATGAATTACTTTAAGTATGGTAAAAAACTTGTTTATTCTCGGTGCTGGGATTTAGGACTACATAACTTTTATAAGGAAAATATTGGATTTTCTTTGGAAACACATTACTAGTATGAACATTATAAGTACAAATCACACACACACATTTTCGGTCCTGGTATTTAGGACTACATGACTTTAATAAAGAAAATATTGGATTTTCTGGAAACATACTCTGTCGCTTTTACAAGGAAAACGGTTTCTTTCTCAAACAAAACTCTTATGAACTCGCCAACTTAATTGTTGACACTTTTTCAAAACTACTTGTATCCTCAGGAAATCAGTGAAACAGGAAAACCAACAGCATTTTGCGGATGGGACGATAAATCGTCAAACAGTTCATTTTGTCATCATAATGTAATTCATTTTGAAACATGTAAACTTATTCTATGGTGTAACCTTTTCAATTATATTTATGATGGTTGTATTTACTTTGAGCACTATTATACTCGTTGTTGTGATACTTTACATGAAGTCCTCCACCCCCGAACGTGTCCGCCATCCTAGGTTTGGGGGTGTGACAATTATGTTATTATTAAATAGACTAATTAATGTGTTACTCATGTTTTCAAGGAATTATACCAAAAATTTATAAGGTATTCTTTAATGTATAGCACAAATTTTGTTTACGACATATACATGAAAACATGAAATTATAATGGAAAGAAATGGAGCTCAAGGTGCATCCGTGAAGATGTACATATATAACTAAGAAGATTGTAATTGATAAATCAATGGATGATTTGAAAATTTTCAATGCTAAGGCTCATGATTGGTTGGGGCAAATAACACCACAATGTCATCCAAGTTAAATTATTGATGTACTATAACCCTACCACACGACAAGCAGTTTTTGACGCCTTTTGAAAAAATATGTGTGAAGTTTTTAATTTAGAGACAATTGATGCAAGGGACAAGCCAATCATCACATGCTAAAAGTTCATTAGAGAGTATATAATGAAAAGAATCATCATTTTTGAGGAAAAAATAATATATCAGAAGGTATTATAACCCCCACTACAACAAATATGTTGCAATATATAAGGAAGGAGGCAGAGGAATACAAAAGTATTTTTTATGGGAATGAGAAATTAGACTGTTGTCCTTTTGCTAAATCAAAGTGTGGTGAATTTGATTGACATAACTTGTTCTTGTGATAAGTGGGAGGTTGTTGGTATACAATGTAAGCATGTTATGAATGCATTGTGGGATACAATTCAAAACCTAAAGAATTTGGTCCATAATTGCTATATGTTTTGTACATGGAAGGAAATGTATAAGTTTAAAATAGACCCCACAAATAGGAGAAACATGTGGGCTGAGTCAGATTGTCCAACTAAATTGACTCCTCCAAAACATCACAAACAGGTAAATTGTTCTCCATATAAGGTTATACCATCTTCTTATTTACTACCTAATAATAAGTAAGATCTAATGCAGGTGGGTAGGCTAAAGAAAAATAGACGAATGAAAAAGGATGAGGGTACCAACCAAAGGACAATAAAAAAAAACTATACCTCACATTTACTTGCAGCAAATGCCACAAGGGGCATAATGAAAGGAGCTGCAAATAGAAGGGTGGACTAGAGTAGGGTAGACCAGATGAACCAGGTGCGTTGGGGAAAGGGAAGAAAATTTCAGGAAAATATGGTGTTGGGTCTTGAATGTAGGTGTTCCAAGGTAATGATTGGTGGTAGTTAGTAGTTAATGGTTCATCTTTTGTTGGGATGTTATATGAAAACACTTTATTTATGATTAGCTTATTTTGGTTTAAAACATTGCCATTATATGGCTGGCTTATTTTGACACCATGTATTGTACCTTTCACATTGGAACTAACTCTTTGGTACTATAATATGATAATTTGGATATATGTTTGGCATTTTATGTTGGTTGTTTATGTTGGTGCTTTTTGGTTCATTGTGGTTATTTATATGCACTAACTTTTTACCATTGTGGCATACCATTACCATACATAAACTGCTTCCTACAATAAACACATAATTTTATGAACACCTTTTCCATTAGAACTTAAGCTACAACAAACACCATTATAGTTTCATCATTACAACAACAAAAGACCACCATTATAGTTTCATCATTACATGCAAACTTCCTTCATACAAACTTATTTAACTTTAAATAACATAAAAGAAGAAAAAGACCCTAACTTATGACTAGAAAGATCTTCATCACCATTGCTTCATGCATTTTTGTTTTAGGGCTTGTACAAGTAATTTCTTTAGCATAACAGATATAGAATCACAACAACTGCCCTACGACACATATGGGGTCGAACCAACCAATGAATAAACATTGTGATCTAGTTCAAATAAGTCCAAAACCTCATTTCCAAGATTTAAATAAGTCCAAGAGGTTACAATGAAGACATGTCTTCCACAAAAACACAAAATCATGTTCTTAAGAATTTGAGAGAATCTGGAGAGAAAAGAGAAAAAGAAGAAGCCTTTGGTAGAAGAACTTGACAACTTTTGAGAGTACGTGGAGAGGAAGAAAGGTTTAAATCATCTAAATTGACGTTAACAAGGTGGAATGACGAAATTGCCCCTCGTGTGAGTGGCACGTGGGTCGAATAACGTCTAACAATGGACGCCGGACGGCGTAACTAGGTGAGCAAGTTTTTGAAATCACATAAACAAAATGGATAGACGTTTTAATAGTTGTCTGATAAACAACAAGGACCAATCATGTAATTTTGCCTATTTTCACATGAGAAAAACATCTATTTTCTTGCTTACGAAAAGTGTAGTCCTTTGGTCTTCTCTTTTTCTCTCTCGATTTTTTTGTGCAATAAAATCCACATCCTCATAAGCGTATCCAAATATTACAGTCATCTTGATTTTCTGAGATTCCTTTTTACTCTTCTGTTCTATTCTTTCTCTCTCTCCGAATTTTCCCCCTTTTCTCTCTCTTTTTCCCTCGAAGGATCTTCTTTTTCACTTAAATATTCTGGAATTCTTACATCAATTGCTCAAAGGGTTTTAACGGAGAACAAAAACCCTGGTCTGTAAGTTTTACATCATATGAAGATCTAACAATTTGTATCTCTTGAGCCTTTTTCTTCAAGAAAAAATGTCTCAGACTCACTGGGAAGCTGATAAAATGTAAGTTTCTTTTGCCCCTTATAAAATTCTCTGTAATTTCCAATCATTTGTGTTGTATTCATGGTTTTCTGTTAGATTTATGCTCTCTGTCGCTTGTTTGTTGTTTTTTTTTTCTTCTTATCCAATTTTGTTTTTTTGTTTTATCCCGCTTCCCGTCTTTTTAGGGTTTGTCCTTTCAGCAGCTTTTCTCATTACTTTTTATTAAATTTATTTCTTCCCTCAGTTGGATTTGTCTTATAGATTCAGTATCGGTCGAATATTTGTTTGTAGTCTCGCTTCATTTATCTTGTGTTAGTGTTCTTCATTTCGGTATATGTATGAATCCGGATTTTTTGTATGAAGTTTCGAACTTCAATGGTTTCAGAGAGATAGATATTTCTAGTCAATTGGGAGCTTTAGCGACTCTAATTAGCTTGAACTTGTTCTTCTTCATGTAAAGTTTCAAACTTTGTTATAATTTCCAACTAATAAATCTGCTATCTGATTTATTTAACAGGTTAGATGTTTATATACATGACTACTTGGTAAAGAGGGATTTAAAAGCTTCAGCCCAAGCATTTCAAGCAGAGGGAAAAGTCTCATCTGACCCTGTTGGTAAGATTCCATTATAATTTCAATATTACCCATTTGTCTTTTTCCTTTATCATCATTCCAAATACATCACTGCTAATAATCTAACTCCAAAACATTAGGCTATTTTAGATATTTGACAAACAATCATACATTTTCTTTGTGCCAAGTTAAAATTTTATAACTTTTATCCTCACATGGAGTAAAAATTACCAAAATTTTGTTATTTTTACAGCTATTGATGCACCTGGTGGCTTTCTATTCGAATGGTGGTCAGTATTTTGGGACATATTTATTGCAAGAACCAATGAGAAACACTCAGAAGTTGCAGCCTCTTACATTGAGGTTAGTTTAAGCTCATAGTTTCTTTTTCTAATCTATTGATACATACATACATACATACATACATACATATCTTTACATAAAAATACATACTTTGATAACTACAGACACAGTTAATCAAAGCAAGAGAGCAACAACAACAACAACAGCAACCACAACAACAACCACCACATCCACAACAACAACAACAGCAACAACAACAACAACATCAACAGATGCAAATGCAACAGCTCATGTTGCAACGCCAAGCTCAACAACAACAACAGCAACAACAGCAGCAACAACAGCAACAGCAGCAGCAACAACAACAGCAGCAACAAGCACAACAACAGCAACAGCAGCAACAAAGGAGAGATGGGGCCCACCTTCTGAATGGGGCATCAAACAGACTTGTTGGAAATGAGCCACTTATGAGACAAAATCCTGGAGTCAATGCTATTGCTACAAAAATGTATGAGGAGAAATTGAAAGTCCCACTTCCTAGGGACTCTTTAGATGATGCAGCTATGAAGGTATATATGTATATATGATAATATGAATATGAGATTATTCTCTAAAAAAAGTCAAATGTTTGACTTTTATGGAATTCGGTTAATTTTGTTTTTATATTTACAAACAGAGATATGGTGAGAATGTGGGCCAGCTTTTGGATCCCAACCAAGCTTCAATCTTGAAATCTGCTGCTGCAGCAGCTGGACAACCTTCAGGGTAATGTTTATTTATTTTTATTTATTTATTTATTTATTGTTTGTAATAATTATATATTATTAATATATTTTTTTTCAGGCAAGTGTTGCATGGGACAGCTGGCAGTATGTCTCCTCAAGTTCAAGCGCGGAACCAACAACTTCCAGGCTCTGCACCTGTGAGTATTCTTTTTTTGAAAATGAAAAAAATGGTAATTTTTTTGTGATATTAAATGTGATTTAACTTATATTGATGTATATTTTAATAGGAAATAAAAACGGAAATGAATCCAATTTTGAATCCTAGAGCAGCGGGACCCGAAGTATCATTAATTGGGATTCCTGGTAATATTTGACTTTTTCCATTGACTTTTTTACTTTACTTGAACTATCACTTCATGTAACTGACATTATTCTTGTTTTCTAGGATCAAATCAAGGTGGTAATAACTTGACATTTGAAAGGATGGCCTCTCACAGTAAGTTTATCAATAATTCGGCATTTACCATTTTACCCTTCTACCTGCCTATGTGTTTGTTTCCATTTTTTCCTCATTAAGTCTTTTATGTCTGAAGTGGTTGAATCTTGAATGAGTAATGATGTATGTCTGAATAAACTGTCTGAAAAAGACTAAATGACCATTTTATCCTTTCGTTCTATTCATATTAAGTCAAAAAGAAACAGCCCTTACGCCTGTTAATGATCTTAGCAGGGGTTAGATCAATTGAGATCTGGTTTAATGCAACAACAGAAGTCATTCATGCAAGGATCACAACCATTTCATCAGTTACAAATGATGTCACCACAACATCAACAACAGCTTCTATTAGCACAACAAAACATGACATCACAATCAGCTAATGATGAAAGCAGAAGGCTTAGAATGCTTCTTACTAACAGAAGCATGGGTATGGGAAAAGATGGAAGTGGTCTTTCAACTTCTGTTGGTGATATTCCAAATGTGGGGTCCCCAATGCCCGTTTTACCCCGTGGAGATACTGATATGTTACTCAAGGTGATTCTGAATATTCAGTTCTTGTAATCTTGTTTCTGTATAATGAATGATTATGGAATTTATTACGGTTTTGCCATTATAGTTAAAAATGGCGCAATTACAGCAACAACAGCAGCAGCAGCAGCAGCAACAGAATGGTGGGAATCAGCAACAGCAACAACAGCAGCAGATTCATCATTCTCTTTCTGCTCCTCAGCCTCAAAATTCAAATTTAAATATTCAACAAGAAAAGATTGTGGGTGCAAGTAGTGTGGGAGATGGGAGCATGTCGAATTCGTTTAGAGGAAATGATCAGGTTAGTTTGGTTTCTGATGTTACTTGATAGGTGTATTAGGGTCTGTTTGGTTGGATGGAATGGAATGGAATTGAATGACTAAGGAATGGAATGTTTAGTTGGTCTGTAGGAATGAAATGAGTTTTCATATGAAATTTTTTATATTACCCCCAAACCTGCCAACATATGAAAGTCTAGGGACCAAACCTGAAAATATACGGAAGTCTTGTGGCCAAAGTCTGAACCCCAAAAAGTCTAGGGACCAAACCTGTCAATTTATGAAAGTCTAGTGGCCAAAGTCTGAAACCCAAAACGTCTAGGGACCAAACCTGCCAATTTATGAAAGTCTTGTGGCCCGAGTCTGAAACCCAAAAAGTCTAGGGACCAAACCTGCCAGTATATGAAAGTCTTGTGGCCAAGTCTGAATCCCAAAAAGTCTAGGGACCAAACCTGCCAATATACGAAAGTCTTGTGGCTGAAGTCTGAATCCCAAAAAGTCAAGGGATTAAACCTGCCAATATATTAAAGTCTTGTGGCCAAAGTCTGAAACCCAAAAAGTCTAGGGACCAAATCTGCCAATATATGTAAGTCTTGTGGCCAACGTCTGAATCCCAAAAGGTCTAGGCACCAAACCTGCCAATTTATGAAAGTCTTGTGGCCAAAATCTGAAACCCAGAAAGTCTAGGGACCAAATCTGCTGACATATGAAAGTCTTGTGGGAAAAGTATGAAACATACAAAAGTGTTGTGGAATTCAATTAAAACTATGGAATAAACCATTCCATTCCTTCCTTGATTCCATTCTACCAAACACTACCTTAGGTAGTAGTTTCTTTTCTTTAACATGATTTCTAATCCATTTTAAGGCTTCAAAAAACCAGACTGGAAGAAAAAGAAAACAGCCCGTGTCATCATCCGGGCCCGCCAATAGTTCCGGAACAGCAAACACAGCGGGCCCCTCACCATCTTCAGCACCTTCAACTCCATCAACTCATACACCTGGTGATGTCATCTCAATGCCTAATTTGCCACATAATGACAGCTCATCAAAATCTTTAATGATGTTTCGACCCGATGGTGGGCCCACGAATAATCTCACCTCCCCATCAAATCAATTGGTAAGTGGGGTCCACTTTCCTTTTTACGGTTTTTGTATCGGTATAATCTTGTGTTGCAATGATAAGGGTGTTTTGGTCATTTTGCAGGCTGACATGGATCGTTTTGTGGAAGATGGATCTCTTGATGATAATGTGGAATCTTTTTTGTCTCATGATGATACGGATTTGAGGGATACAGTTGGTGGTCGTTGTATGGATGTCAGCAAAGGTAAGATTGTTTTTTTAGTTTGATATGATGGAATGGAATCACAAAGGAATGGAATGGAATGAACAATGTAATGGAATGAGGAAGGTAAAGGAATGGGTTGTTACATTCCGTTATCATGTTTGGTTGGCTTGAAGGAATGGGATGAATCATTTAAACATTTTGTTTCTTATGCGCACAATTTTAAAAGTCGATACATAAAGAAAAAAAATTGTTATTTTATTAAAATTAACTTCAATACGATTGATATGAAATTAGGGTTTACATTTACGGAGGTAAATTCAGTTCGTGCTAGTGCAAGTAAGGTTGTGTGTTGCCATTTTTCATCGGATGGTAAACTTCTTGCAAGTGGTGGCCACGATAAAAAGGTAAAATTCAATTTCATTAAACAAAAAAAAAGTAATTTTAATCTTTACAAGAAAGTTGTATATTTACAGTGGTAAATTGGTAATTTATGATGCAGGCTGTATTGTGGTATACAGATTCGTTAAAACCCAAAACAACTCTCGAAGAACATTCATCATTGATCACGGATGTGCGCTTCAGCCCAAGCATGCCCCGCCTTGCCACGTCATCCTTTGATAAAACCGTTCGTGTTTGGGATGCCGACAACGTTAGTTCACCTTTTTTTTAGTCTCGATTTCTTTTACTTTGTTGTAATTTACATTTTTGGTCCCCGAGTATACCTGAATTTTGCAATTTTCGCTCCCAAAAAATTTTCATTTGCATTTTTGGTCCTTATTTGAGGTTGATGTAACGTTTTTATTCCCCTTCCAAGTAAAAATATAGCCATTTTACTTTGAACATGACAAATAAATAATTTACTCTTTAATTTAATTTAAATTTCATTTGTAGTCTGGTTTTTCTCTTCGGACATTTATGGGACATTCTACATCTGTGATGTCATTGGATTTCCACCCGAATAAAGATGATCTCATTTGTTCGTGTGATGGAGATGGAGAAATACGGTATTGGAGCATCAACAATGGTAGCTGTTCTCGTGTATTCAAGGTATATAATATAATATAAGGGCAAAATTAGTCATTTCAACTTGGATTAAAATAAAATGATTATTTTTTTTTTTGTAATTAATTTAGGGAGCAACAGCCCAAGTGAGATTTCAACCACGCCATGGAAGATTTCTTGCAGCAGCTGCAGAAAACATTGTATCGATTCTTGATGTGGAGACTCAAGCATGTCGACATACATTAACGGTTTGATTTTGTATTTTAATGTTTTTTTATTTTTATTTTTTGAGTAATTTACATCTTTGGTCCCTGAGTAATTATAGTTGATTTTTTCAAGGGTTAATCTCATAAAAGACCTTACATTTTGTGTTTTTTCCGGATTAAACTTAAACTTTTTTTTCTTCAAAAAGACCTTGCATTTTTTTCTTTTTTCTGATCTGGCTCTGTCATTTTTTTTTGAAAAAACTTGTCAAATGTGAGGTTTTTTTTTGAGAAAAACAAAAAAAGTTGAGGGTTTATTTGGAAACAGTTAGAAGGTTGAGGATTTTTTTTTTTGGAAAAAGGCAAAGTTGAGGGTTCTTTTTGAAAAAATGAAAAAATACAAGGACTTTTTCAGGAAAAAAATAAAAATGAGGTTTAATCCGGAAAAAACACAAAATATAAGGTCTTTTATGAGATTAACCCTTTTTTCAATTTTTGCAATTTTGGTCCTTTGATGTTCATGTAACATTTTTGGTCTGAGTTCCCACTAAAATGACTATTTTCAGTCCCTGGGTTTAACTGATTTTTACAATTTTGGTCCCAAAAATTTGTCATAGGGACCAAAATGTTACAAAAATCTTAACTAAGCACCAAAATTGCAAGAGAATCCTTTCAGACCGAATTTGAACAGATTAGCTATACCAAGGGACCAAAAATATAAAATAGTAAATTACATTTTTTGTCATTTAAGTATAGCTGATGTTTGCAATTTTGGTCCCACAAAGTTTTTACATGATATTTTGGTCCATATTTGAGGGTCTTGTAACGTTTTTGGTCCCTGTTCCAATTAAAATGAGTATTTTTGGTCCCCAAATTATTACAATTTTGGTCCCAAAAATAGTCATTTTACTTAATAAGGACAATTTTGGTCTCAAAATAAGGACAAAAGTTTCAAAAGAAAACCTTTTGGTACCAAATTTGAAAAAATCAGCTATAATCGGGGACCGAAAATGTAACTTACTCAAAATATATGATTAACTCTAATAAAATAATCAACTATTTGAATATGTAGGGGCATACAAAGCCGATTCATTCTGTTTGTTGGGACCCAAGTGGGGAGTATTTGGCATCCGTTAGTGAGGACTCTGTTCGTGTGTGGTCTCTTATGGCAGGAAATGAAGGGGAATGTGTACATGATCTTAGTTGTAATGGCAACAAGTTTCACTCATGTGTTTTTCATCCTAGTTATGCTTCATTATTGGTCATCGGTTGTTACCAGGTAACTTTACTTTTCACTTTTCACTTTTCACCACAAACTAGTAAAAAAGTAAATATTACTTTTTTAATGGGTTTTCTTCTTGTGAATGCAGTCGTTGGAGTTGTGGAATATGTCAGAGAACAAGACAATGACTTTATCGGCTCATGAAGGATTGATTGCTGGCTTGGCTTTGTCCACTGTTACGGGTTTGGTAGCTTCTGCTAGCCATGATAAGATTGTTAAGCTTTGGAAATGAAAAAAAAACAAGAAACAAAAAATGTTGTATCATCTGTTGTATCTTGAATGTGGAACAGTATGTTTATTGTGCTTTGGTGATATGTTTATATGGGTAAAAACATGCTATCCTTAATTATGAAAAGCTCCATGTTTCTTTATATATAAATCGTCTCCACATTTTTACGATGGATTTATTTGATTTTGATTGTCATAATCTCTAAAATGACCATCAAGGCTGTACTTGCACCCTATTCTCGAGTTTAACTAACAGAAAGAAAAGAAAGGGAAGGAGAATATGGAGAGAAAAGAAAGGGAGGAGAAGGAAGTGATTTAACTTTTTCGTGTTCTCGAGAGTTCGAAGAAAAGGAAATGAAGTTTTTTTTTTAAAAAAAATGTGCTCCCGAGTTGGAAGGAAAAGAAAATTAAATCAACATTATAATTTTACCCTTATTTTTTAGCAATCATATTAGATATATAGTTTAAATTGGAAAAAAATGTTGATCTGCATGCCATCTTTATATTTTGTGTCTTTATTTTCGTTTACACACAAATATACATATTTATATTTAGTTAAATACCACCAACATATAATATTCAATTAAAATATCAAATGTTAGCAAAACATAAATAATATTAAAATAAAAACATTTGTTGTTATCTTTTAAATAACATTTGTCTAACGGAAAAGAAACCAAACTTTAAAAGTTATTGAAAACAATGCAGTTTAATCAGGCTACGACTCCAAAAACTAGAATTCAATTCGTGAAGCCAAAAATAAGTCAAACATAGAAACAACAAATCAACACCTCTTATCCTAATTCATAATTTATCTGCGTCCATCGTTGTTTTCAGTAGATCATTCCATATGTTCATTGGACAAGTAAACAACGTCCTCGTATCTGCCTGGTTACGAGCCAAATACATGAGAGCACCTGGTATTTCATGGGGTTCCAACCCATCGGCTGCAATTCTTGATAAATTTCATCACATGTTAACTCATGATGGTAAGTTCTTTCAAAGATTTTGTTACATTCCCTCATAGCATTAGCCACATCACAAACATCATTCATAATCTTACTCTTTCAAAAAAAAAAAAATATTATTCAGAATCTTTGTTTCAAATGTTTTAGGTTCAAGTTTCAGGTTGAGGTTGAGGTTCAACTTCCTCTACGATTTTTTTTTGATTTTTTTGATTTTTTGATTTTTTGATTTTTTTTGCACTTTTTAGCACTTGAATTTTGTTAAGGTGAAAAAATGTAGGAGATACCACTTGAATGTCATCTTCATCATCATCTATATGTTGGTTTTCCAGTGTTAACATCATTACTTGCCAATAAATCATCAACCTTTAAAATACTTTATATTTTGATGTCTGTAGTCTTGCTAAACCTGACAATTATCTCCTTTACTGTTTCAACATTTTCTCCCAAAGCTCTATCTCTCGCAAATAATACCAAAAATAGGAGCAAGGGCAAAATTGACCAATGGGAACAACAAAGAAGAACAAATGGCATCAGCAAGAAGGATTGGAAACAGAAAGCAACAACACATGTTGACTTATTATTGCTGATTGATATCGATTGCTAGCGTTAGAAAATGAAAATAGTAATGAAAGAATCGCATAAAAAGAAAGCAACAACAATCATATTTTAGAATATGACAATTACTTGTTGCTAGTGGTAGGGAAAAAATGAAAATAGGAATGGCAAAAGTAGTCATGTTCACTTATGTTAATATTTCCATTTTTTTGAAGATGATTCACGTGTATAGCATATATAAATGTGGAGGTAACACAAAAGAACAATTGTTTTTATATAACAACGAGTTTCAAACACTTACAATCTGTTAATGAAATATGTGATTCTAAGTGGCATAAGAAGCCAAGCACAACTCGTAAGTAAACATGCATTAGGCTGAACAAGCATAAAACTCTTTTAATCATTGGAAGTGGTAATGCCACGACAAACTAATTTTAATTTCCGATATTTTTATATATGACTTGATTGATCAAGTGTGGTTGGTTGTTCTAGACTTCATATATTCTGATAAAAAGCAATAACCATTACATTTTTCTTGAAACTTAACTGAAGGCTACTATTTTGTGCTTATATTTAACATTTTCATGTTGTTTTTGAGGATGATTCACATGGATTGCATATATAAATGTCAGAGGTAATACAAAAAGAACACTTATTTTAATATAACACTTTCTTGTATACACAGAAGAACATGAAAATAATAACAGATCACGATCTATTGAAAATAATAACAGATCACTCTCTTGTATACACAGAAGAACTTGCAGAAAAAGAAAATAGAAACCAGTTTTACCTGTGAGATTGCAGATTGCAGGGACGAAGACTGATGTAGACCTGATGAATGGCTTGAGAGTTGAGAATGCAAATCGTGTTTTTTGGTTTGCAGCGTGCTCATAAATAGTGATAAGAAAAATAATTTGGTAAACTTCAAATAAATCGGATGGAGACATGGTCGACTTCTCTCCAAATCTCTCCAATTTGGGAGGAAGATTAGGAAGGATGATATTCCCTTATCTTCTCTTCTTTTCTTTCCAAATCCACCAAAAAAAAAAACTCGGGAACAAGATATCTCCTCATTTCCTCCCAATTCCTTCTGATTACCTCCCATTCCCTCGTTAAATGAGACTCGGGAAACGAGGTGTTATACTTCAAGATTAAAAGTTTAACCATTTATTCTGCTAGTTAGCGTGAAAGACCTTTTCTGAATTTTGTACTACGTTAGCGATGATTAACAAACTTCACGATCACGATTTTTTTTGAGTTATCAACTATACTAAAAGCTCACGTTTAATAACAAAATTGGTGACGACAAATTTTAAAAACTAATAGTTATTCATTAAAAGGTCATGCATATTACACAAAATTATTAATTTTTTGACATTTTCATAATATTCTTCTTTGTGAGAGTTATTTGACATTTTGAGTGAGAACCGATCGTTGTAAGATTTGGAATGACTTTAACATTTGCTACGACGTTGTGGGATTTGGAATGACTTTGACATTGGCTACGATAGTGAGGTGTATTTTGACAATAGTTTTACCAAATCGGATCAATAATAAGATGCATTTCAAGAATTTACTTATACTTGTAATTAAAATGATTTAACATACATCATTAGGAAAAAATTTAAACGAAAAAAGAACAATATTGCAATTTTGTGAGGACCTAAGATGTATACAGTCAGTTCTACAAGGGTTCAACTTTTTTATTTAAAAAGTTTGCCATGGTATCAATCCGGCGACATCCTCAACAATCAAATTGGTTATCTCCGCCATTAGTCGCCACCAATAACCAACCCTTTCGCCACCAGGTTCTTCTCTTTATCTCTTTAAGTATATTTACGTGTGTGTTTTCTTGTTACGATGGTTCTGGAATTCAATGCATCCTTCACGTATCCATAAACAGTTACAAAAATCCCCCAAATCAGTGAAGAATTAGGGCATGCTGTATCAAATCGATTAGGTTGATTTAAACATTTTCTGATCTTTTCATAGCTAATCGTTGGTTATCTAAGTTTCTATTGGCTATTTGATTTTGACATTGCGATTTCATCCATGGCATAAGTATATTTCATAGAATTTGTCTTCCTCACATGACGATAAAATTTTCACCCTGCAGCTTGAAGATTTAAGGATTGTATTAAAATTCAGTAGTTAAACTGAACGCTTCGATGACAGAAATGGTAAATCAGTTCATTTCCTTGATCTAATCACCGAGTTTATTCATTATTGTATCTTGTCTCATTGGAAACCTAATTAAATACGTTTTCAGTAGTTCTTAATCCTGTTTTATATTGTTCTTCAGGATCAAAAGATAACAGAAGCTTTGAAGAAGATGAATGCTTCGAAAGAAGGAGCCACTGCTAACGTACAGACATTACTTCCACTTCTGGAGACATTAAAGGTTTCCATTTATGCTTTTCAGATACTCATAAGCTGAATTTATACTTCTCAAAATTAACCAAAATCATTAATTGTGTATGTTGTTATGTATGATTATGAACCAGGTTCTTGAGAAGCAAGAAGAAGAAGATGAATCAAATTACAGTGAAATATATGATAGACTTCAATTGGAGGTCAGTGAATTGGAGAAGATGATACAGATCAATGATCCTGTTGAGAGATTGAATTCAGCAAAGATGGTATTTCTTGTAATTCTTATAGTTACATATGCACCTTGAATATACAAAAATATTTAAATAAAAAAAAGAAAAATCTTTCTGTAAATTTTGTTACAGGAGCTTGCATCAAAGCTAAGGGAAATTATATCATTAAAGCGCCAACGTGATGATATTCCAACACAAGCAGAACTTATTCAGTAAGATTTATAAAAAAAAAAGTCAACAAACTTTTTGTTAAATTTGAAAAGTCAACATATTTTTGTTAAATTTGAAAAGTATTTTCTACACTGCAGATATGAACGTAGGTTTTCAGAACTTAATGTTCACATTCAGGTATGTCAGTTTTTTTACTTTTATTATTTTTTTTTCTCGAAGGTTAAATTTTAAAAAAGTCAACATATTTTTGTTAAAATTTTCATTTATTAATAGGGAAAGCTTCGGCAAACTCGTAAATACTATGCAACATATAACGCTTTATTGGAAATAAAAGAACTGATGTTGAAGGAAACTTCTTTATTAAACTCCATGAGTTCACAGGTAAATTATATATAAATGAAATAGTTAATTTTTTTTTTTATTATCATTAATGTAATCATTTATTTTTTTGTTTTACGCAAATTAAAAAAACAGTTACATGATGCACTTAATAGTCCTGCTGGTCGAGTAACATTGACTAGTTCCATAGATGGAATTTCAAAGAGTATTCAACAGGTAATACTATAAATTAATATATTATAATCACAAGAATTTATATCAATTTTATAAAATTTGAAGTTGTATATATTTATTTTTATATTTTGTAGAAGCTTAGAAATGTGGAAGTAACGTTGGAAGCAGAGCAGAAAGCTTGTGAAGGTTTGAAGAAAAAACATGCAGCAGCGAATTTGGAGAAAAGGCGTTGCTATTCTTTGTTAAAGGAGTTTCAAGTAAGTATTTATTTAATATAATTGTTAATAAATTCGTTTATTTAAGAAAATTAAAACTTTTTTTTTTTTGCTAATGATGGTTATTTTATGTCTCACTTTTGATTATTAGGAAGAATGCACGAGGAATGAGAGACTTAGGAATCAAACTTCTTCTGTCTGATATCTGTGGTTAGAAAGAATGTAAAGATTTATTATTATTTTTTTTTTTTTCCAAATATAGCTCATATAGTTATACTGTTAGATTTGTATGGTTGTTTGGTATATGTTGTTTTGGTTTTGTTTTTTGTACCATATATTTTTTATGATATTATTTTAAAACTATAAAGCAAATCAAACTCATAAAATATGTAATAAGAACTAAAATAACTAATATATGTTTGGTTATGACTATTTCATTTTAACTAGTTATGAAACATATTAAAAATATTAGTGATTGGATATCATCATCATTTTCCGTACCACAAAATGATGCAAATACTTATTTGTCTACAAAATATGATGTCATTTTTTACACAAAAAATTTCAAGTATATTTACAACTGCATTTATTGGCTTTTTATAATTATGGAATATGGGTCTCGATTAGGGATGTGCTTCGGGCCGGAACCGACCCGAACCGTACCAGACCCGAATAACCCGAAATCCGAATTGGATGAATAGTTGGAACCGAAACCCGCATCGATTATTAACCCGAAAGGACCGAAATAACATGTACACTATGCTTTTGAACAGAAATGATCTGGATAACCCAAATAAACCAAAATAACCTAAATAAAGAAATACTATATCGAGTTCAAGAAAAAAAATACATATTAAACATTGATAATTCATATTTAAACATTAAACATCCATTGAAACTTGAATAACTACTAATAATCGATTGAAATTACTTTCTGTTCATAAATTCATTATATATTCGTTCATAATGAAACTAGCATTTGAAATACCATAGCTCAAACATGTACAACACTTCAAATGGGTTTACCAGTGGCAAAAAAAAACATTGGTTAATGTAGAAACGGGAAGCTCACGTGAAATCAGAGACAACGACGACATGATTCAAACCCTAAAACAAGTTTCAATCAATTACATAAAGTAGTAACTAATTTAAGCAAAATTCATTAATTTTTCGGGTCGGTCATTTTGGCTCAATTAAACCTTTATTCGGGTAACCCAGACTGAACAACTCGAGAATCGAATTGGGCTAAAATAAATACCCGAGAACCGACCCAAATAACTTATTCGGTCCTAGTTTCGGTTTCGGTTCGGATAATCTGTCCAAATGCACATCCCTAGTCTAGAACGAGTGAGAACCTAAAAATCAGAAAAAATTTCAAGGATAATTTTGCACCATTCACTTTATCCAGAGCACAAACGTCAAATGCAATTTTTTTTTCGTTTTAAACTTGATCTTAACTTTTTTTTTTCTTTTGATTTTTTTAATGTAATTAAACTCCATTTTTAGTTTTTTCTTATGTTCCTTTTTATTTTCTATGACGTAAATTGTTAGTTATTAGTATCTTTTTAAAAAAGTTTTCATTTTTCTAATTTAAAACCCAATATCAAAATCTAACAAATAATTACTAAAACGGGCGTTCAGCTATGCTGGGCTTGTTGAGTTTTTGGGCTTCGCATCGTTGGGCCACCTTATTGCTTTGGGTCTTTTGGGCCATCTGAGACCAACTTTTTGTGTAACGCCCCGATTCTCAGGTATCGATTTTATATAAGAATTTCCTGGATTCAAGGTCTACTCGACGAGTTAGTTGCCCTACTCGTCGAGTAGCAGCGGGTTGGTCCGCGTGTTTTTAGTTACCTACTCCCCGAGTCCAAGAAGGGACTCGACGAGTAGGAGCTGGAGGAAGAAACCCTAATTTTCGGGGTTTTGCACCCTATTTAAGGATCATTTACTCCCCCTAACCTCTCTTACTGCCTCCCTCGAATTCAGAAACCCTAATTGTGCCTTCCCTCTATTTTTGTGTGTCTCTTATCTTGAAAGAAGATCTTTGGAGTAAAGGGGCTTGAAGTTCAAGAAGTTTGAAGCAAGGGGCTGTTGTAGATCCAGATTCTTCTCTGTTTTGGCACTGTTTTGAAGGTAACAAGTTGCTACCTTGACTCTCCTTTAGTTAGATCTTTTCATTTATGGGTTTAGAGCCTTTTTGGGGTTTTTGAGGTAGTTCTCCATTTTGGGTTAAGATCTAAGGTTTGCAACCTCAGATCTGGACTCCTTTAGTCCCTCCTTGTCATAAAGTATAAGTATTTGTCAAGCTATGACCTTTCCTCTACCTTAAGCCACTCCTTTAGCTTGTTTTGGGGCATTATCATCTTGCATGCATGTAAAGTTTGCAACTTTACGTGATAATCATGCTCTAGGAGCTTAGATCTGCAATATGGAGCCTTTGCATGACTTAAAAAGCATCTGCATGGTTGAAGGATTGAAGGGACTCGGCGAGTCGCAAGGTCGACTCGGCGAGTCATATGAAGATAGTCATGTACTCGACGAGTTGGATGAACAACTCGGCGAGTCCGATGAAGTTTGCCTTGGGCTCGGCGAGTCAGTCGAATGACTCGGCGAGTCAGCTAGGGTTTTTCCCAACCTTTGGACATGCATGAACTCGACGGGTTTTATGGTAACTCGACGAGTCAACCAAGGATTCATGACTTCTCGAGTTCAGGAAGGACTCGACGAGTCGGTGAACTACACTCGATGAGTCGGGTCAACATGGACTGTTGACTTTGACTGTGGACTTTGACTTTGACCAAGGATTGACCAGTTGTCCTCTGGGGGGATTTTGGTAATTTTGAAATTTATGGAAAAAGGGTTTTATGGTAACTATAGGCGGTGGAGCTCGTGTTGGTGATTCGAGAGTTGAGCTTATCATTTTCAGTGCGACATTGTGAGGTGAGTTATCCTCACTATACTCAAGGGTCTAAGGCACCAAGGCCGGCCCTTTGAATTGTTATTGGTTATGTTATGCTGGTATGATCTATTAGATCCGTATCCTAGAGGGTAGGATGACATTATGTGACATGTGGTAGGACCTGTTAGTTCGGTATCCTAGAGGGTAGGATAATATCATGTGGTATGTGTTATGATCCGTTAGATCATTTGTTGTCTATAGACTGTTATGTGATAATCTGTTATATGTGCACATGTTTGTTTGGCGGTTGAGGCTTATCTGCTTTGTGCGAAAGCCAATAGACCTGGGCATTCCAACCTGTTGGTTGTGGGCCGTGAGTATTCCATCCTGAGGATGACTGGACTCATAGTATGTGGGCATTCCAACCTGTTGGTTGTGGGCCTGGGGTATTCCATCCCGATGATGATTGGACCCATAGTATGTTGGCATTCCAACTGGATGGTTGAGGGCCTGGGGTATTCCAACCCGATGGTTGACTGGACCCATAGTATGCTGTTTATGATTATATGTGTATTGTTGCGGGTATGAGTATTTTGGGGGAACTCACTAAGCTTTCGGGCTTACAGTTTCAGTTCATTGTTTCAGGTACATCAGGGGATCGCGGCAAGGCGAATGCATGATCGTACAGCTCCTCATGTTTTGTTTATGTTTCTGGAAAAACTCTGATATTATACATTTTGAAAACAAGATGTAATGATTTTTAATGGGTTGAAATGTTTTTAAAAGTTTTAAATTGGCTTGATTTTATGGGTGTTACATTTTGGGACTAAGGAAATTACTGGGCTTTAGGATAAGACCCATATGGGGGTGGTCCCAATTTGGAAAATTGGACCATTAGTGGGCCTTTGTGGATCTTTTGGATTTGGGCCTTAGTTTTGGTTCAAGTTGGGCCATGGGTAAAATGGTCATTTTACCCTAAGTATGAGTTCTGGACCATGATTGGAACCCAATTGCTAATTGGGTGTGATTTTGTTCTGATAGCTCGGGGAGTCGTCCGGGAAGCAGCTAGGGATTTCTTTCAGTGAACTTCAACATTCGAGGTGAGTCTCCTCACTCTTCTATGGGTCGAAGGCACCAATGTCGGCTCATTTGGTTTATGTATAATAGGAAGACCCGGGGGTGACCCTTGGCACTTTGTATGAAAGACCAGAAGGCGGCTCCTAACAATCTGTATGCAAGATCAGAGTTTGAACTCTGATAGTTAATTGGTTAAGTGGTTGTAGATTGTATGCTAGTTGTATTTGTGATGCTTTCATGGAAGACCAGGATGTGACTCCTGACACTTGTCTGTAAGACCCAGGGTTTTGGCCTCCGGCCTGACAAGGAAGACCATGATACGACTCGTGGCATAATGGCAAGACTATGGTTGGCACATAACACTTTTTTATTGATTACTGGATATGTATGAAGTGTATGGCTCGTTTGATATGTATGGTATGTGGTATTTAGAGAAATCACTAAGATTTGTGCTTACAATTTGTGTTTTATGGTTTCAGGTACTTCCGGTTCGAAAGGGAATGACCCGACTTGATCGCAGCGCATACACCCGTGTTTTTCCGCAACTCAGTATTATGGGATTTACTTTGATAATTGTTTTATCCTAGGATACTTTAAATGTTTCATCAAATGTAAATGGATGTCTGAATTTATATATAAAAATGAAAATTTTCCCATGATTTTCGGGCTGTTACAAGTTGCTTAGTCATATCATTTTACGAGATTTTGACAATAAATAAAAGTAAATTTCGACATTAATATTTTCAATCTTACGGTAAGTATTTGTCTTCACATTATCACTAATTTTTAAGATTTCATTCTATCCACTTCCATATAAGAAACAAATTGGAATATAAATAAAATCTTTTTTAATGATGTCTTACGTTAAAAATTAATATATATTTATATATTGAATATTTAACAAATTATGTGAATAAGATAAAATTATAAATTGAAAATTACATGCAAGAAAAATTGAATATTATTCGAAATTAGATAAACATAGAAACAAATTTACTCGGAAAAAGAAACAAACAAACAAAAGGAAGAAAGAAAGATCATAAAACTAAAGTGGTTTAATGGCTTTGGACTTGTAAGCTTTGACAGCCTTCTGAATTAACGAAGAGTGATTGTGAAAGAATACCATCCTTTCTTTAACACTCTCTATCTCTTCAAGATGATACTTCTCCCATGCATCTTCCATATCATCCAATTCTTTCTCAGAAACATAGGACATGTATTTTCGTAACATATTCTTTCCATCACTTGTTATATTCTCAAACGGATATATATCATCTAAGGCTGCATCGGTGTGGGGATACTTTACCACGAAATCAAGTTCGCTCATTGTATGTTGCTTCCTTTTGGCCTTTTCTTTCAAAGAGTAGTTTGGTTTCTTCTTCTTGTTTTTCTTGTTCA